ATGGTTGCCCCTCATGTAACGAGGGTGGCCGACCCAAGGGCCACCTAGGGGTGAATTTGTTTAAAGTGTAGAAGCTGTCGCCAACACAACAACCACACCCTAAGTTAACGAGTTGCATGACCCAGTGTCAAGGAATAGTCCGAGAAGACCGGACAGCTCGCCAACTGCACTGGCTAACCATTACCCCGGAGTTGGATCCGCAAATCGATTAACACCCAGGTTCCCAATTACTACTGGGTAGGCAAAGGCAAATGGCGTAAAGAAACTTGCCTGTAGTTTCACTTGCGAGGCGAATATGCTGACCATTACACCACAGGTGTACATGCATATGTACACACATTAACACAAACACTCATACATCTCTCACGTTTCTATGGGAATTAGAATTACGATATATGTGCACCTGTGACTGTACCTAACTTATTGTTCATGCATTAATTAAACAAAATGGAATTAGTATGTTGTTAACCCTGACTCAGAGCGACGGATACAAAACAATAAAGACAAAGATTACATTAAGGTTCTCTTCCTCTCCAATTCTTTCCAACTTCTCCTGCGGCCATAAGTAAATTACGCCAGTCCCTAATCGCTCGGCCATCTACTGTATATATCTGGTATAGTGTGTGTGTGTGTGTGTGTGTGTGTGTGTGTGTGTTTTGTTCACCATACTAATTAAGTATACAAATCAGTCGAGTTTTAGGCGGCAGTTGACACTTTTATGTTGATCCCAGTCTTGAGTATATAATCTTATGGGTATGACGTGTTATTATTTACACTCAAGGCGTAAACACTCTATTTGAAGGATGATTACAGGTAGCCTCACACTGGCTATACAAAACTCGGACTCGTCATCATATAATTACCTGTATAGTACCTCGGCGTTAATTTAGGTAGCTACGGTAACAAGCATGAGTTACCACAAGTGGATAGTCATTATTTTACAACACGGTAACTCCCTCAGTTACCCACCCACCATCCCCCTTCACAATGCGTCACTGGTAATGAGACCACAGCTTCGTCATTAGCCCCCATCAGGAGCACGCAAATGTAGAAGAATTGGGAGTGTTACTGAGCAGTATTGGTGATATTTGCTGTTATTGGATACTCTTTCTGCTGCTGTTCCCGTTACTGCTGTTCCCAGTACTACTTTTATTGCAAGTACTCACTGATGATGAGGGTGGCCACAAAAAGTGGGGTGGAGGAATGATGGTACCGCTGCTGTTATAAAGTACAGTACTCTTACTCTTTTCTCTGATAATATTGGTATTGCTGCTACTGACACACCAGCTGTTCCCTCTGCTGTTGTGGCCGCTGGTAATGCTACACTGATACTCCTCTCATGTTTATATCGAGGCTTAACTGAGTACCTCACCTCCGGGGGTAATTTGAGCTGATCTGTGTACACTTCACGAACAAGTGACGGAAAAAGGTTGGACACACACACACACACACACACACACACACACACACACACACACACACACACACGCGCGCGCGCGCGCGCGCGCTAACTGAATATTTACATACAACAAGTTCTGAACATGCAAAATCTTTTCTATAGAGGCGGTGATGCAGGTAGTGGAGTGGACCTGAACGAGGCACCGGGGAGGAGCAACAACAGCTGGGGGCGGGTGAGTTATGGTGGGGGTGTGGGAGCTACAGGGGAAAGTAAACAGATTCTTCAGGGAGAGTGTAGGGGTGTGCTAGGGTGTAGGGGTGTGCTGGGGTGTAGGGGTGTGCTAGGGTGTAGGGGTGTGCTAGGGGTGTAGGGGTGTGCTAGGGGTGGGGTGTGCTAGGTGTAGGGGTGTGCTAGGGGTGTGGTGTAGGGGTGTGCTAGGGTGTAGGGGTGTGCTAGGGTGTAGGGGGTGTGCTGGGGGTGTAGGGGGTGTGCTGGGGTGTAGGGGTGTGCTGGGGTAGGGTGTAGGTAGGGGTGTGCTAGGGTGTAGGGGTGCAGGTGTACAGGGTGTAGGGGTGTGCTGGGGTGTAGGGATGTGCTGGGTGTAGGGATGGTGTAAGGCAAGCAATGGTGTAGGGAGGGAGAGAGTAAGGCAAGGAAGGAGAGAGTAAGGCAAGTAATGGAGTAGGGAGGGAGAGTGTGGGGGCGAGAAAAGGAGTTGACCGTGGGATGAGGGTGGGGATGCTGACCTACTTTTCCCCCAACAAGACTGAAAATAACTTTCATCATCAAATCATTTCTCATGAAAACTTCGGTATCAGGTTCAAGACAACATAACACGTGGTACAGGGCTACAGAACAACACGTGGTACAAGGCTACAGAACAACACGTGGTACAAGGCTACAGAACAACACGTGGTACAGGGCTACAGAACAACACGTGGTACAGGGCTACAGAACAACACGTGGTACAGGGCTACAGAACAACACGACGTGGAAATATACACACCCATAAGGTACAGACAATACGATACGTCATTCATTAGGAAGTGAAGATGACTTGTGTGGATTGACATGATGGAGGGTGGAGGAGTATGTTGTGTGTCAAGGATGGCGTGAAGTGTGTAAGGACTCAGGAGGAGGAAATGATAACTGTAAGGTTAATAGGAAATAAAAGAGAGGAAGGGCGAAGTGTAGAGAAGTGGACGAGGAATAGGAGAAAGTGACCATGAAATATGACAGCCGCGGTGTACATATTAATGATGAAAGTTACCGGAGGAAGGCGGCAGAGGAATAACAAGCTCGGTAAACAACATACCACACGCGGCTGCCACTGAAACTCCTACTGTAAGAAGCGCCGATGCTGGCAGAAGGCGGGCGAAAGTCCATCTGGCGGAACTTCTTTAAGTGTGTGTGTGTGTGTGTGTGTGTGTGTGTGTCAGAGGAACGCCAAACGCTGTTGATTGCTCGTCCTGTCGCTGAGTTTATGGTAGGGTGATGGTAGGCTGGTTGCGTCAGGGAAGTGTAGTGGGCAGAGGAGACGTGTGTGTTGAGGGGGAGGGAGGCAGTATATACAAGGACTCATGAAAGAGGAGGATGAAGAGGTGTGGGCCAGGTAGGTGTGTATGTAAGGGCTGAGTAATGAGCGACAGGTGATGAAGTGCAAGAGACAGGAAAGGAGGCAGTAGGTGGGTACACACATGGACCACTGGCTGTCTTGATGTACACATGGGATAGTGACAACCAAGCCAACACACACACACACACACACACACACACAGCCGTTCTTGCAACATGAAACATTACACTCGTCAACACACACACAAGAGGAAAACCGTCACGATACAACACATGTTCTTTTGTCATAAATATATAGTAAGGATCGTAAAGTTTTATGCACGCTGCGAGTCGGGGAAACAAATGTAATATAGAAAGAAACATGTCTTACTTCTGGTGCTGAGACTGTACTCAACGAAATTTTAATATTCTCTATAATGGAAAATAAACGTTTGTTGGTTATTACTTGAAAAACACATATTATAATACAACCAACATCATAAATAGCCAACCATAATTATTGTGTGTGTATGTATATATATATATATATATATATATATATATATATATATATATATATATATATATATATATATATATATATATATATATATATATATGAGAGAGAGAGACTCGTCAACGGCCCCTCTGGCAGACATTTGCAATAAACATAAAAACGCCCCAAAGTGTTGTTTCACGGTACACTGTGGCTGTGTCTTGCCAAGCCAGAGTTTCGGAAACATTGCGGGTAAAAACGGCCAAGACAAGAGAGTACACGAGTGTATATTAATAATTACAAAGCTATAATCATTTCTGATTAACTTTAACTGGAAAAAAAATCGGCCAAATATAGACAGAAAAAATGATTGCCAAGAAACTGTCACTGTCAACACCTAACGCAGTCAGAAACAATGTTTACTGTTTGTTTTCTTTAGAGTAACTGGTCTTAGGCCGCGTTAGTGAAGTCAGTGGTGTGACCAGGCGGTGACCCAGTGAGCGGGTTGGGGTGAAGTCACTGGTGTAGCACATCAGAGCTGACTAATGCAAATAAAAATAAGTCACGAAACATATATATTCTTTAATATCACTTGTCTAAAGCAGAATTATAGACGTTGTTTAGCATGGTGGGGATGTGCTGTGTTTTGTGGCCTCGGTGGCAGAGAAATCCAACAAAGAATATTATCCCTTTCTCCTTCATTACCACAGTATGATTACGTATATAGACTAACTGACTCACTCACTCATTCACTCACTGTCATTATTTTTTTATAGTCAATGTTGAAACATTTTGTGATCGGATCTTGTCCATAAATGTTTTCTTCACATAAGACTGGGTAAGCACAATGAAGCATAGTTTTCAAAACTGCTCAGACGGAGTTAACTGCTCCAGCTCGGTGCACTGACCAATGGCAGCTTTAAAAGAAACTCTATTTAATAATAAATATAAGTATAATATTATTGTACAGCCCTTCGTTGTAATCCATGATATTTTAATCTTTTTCTTCACGTTCCTTGAACAAAATAATCCGTGTTATGTTGAATTTACGTTGGACTGTTGGATGAGATGGGATGTTCCGGTTTATAATGTACTAAGACTATAGAACTCAGGTTGTTTCCCTTTTTCCCGTGTGATTTTATCAAGAGTTATCTTATCCACGTTTTCATTGTGGATCTACATGATATATATATATATATATATATATATATATATATATATAAAATATATATATATATATATATATATATATATATATATATATATATATATATATATATATATATATATATACTGTATATATGAGAACAAGAAAAGTCGGTGTACTGATTTTACAATGTGGTCCTCATACTATGCGTGAGATGTGTGTATGCGTCAGGACAGCCCTGGCCAGCCAAGCCAGCCACATACCGGTGCGTCAAGATAACTGTGGAGACAGCATGGGTGAGGGGAGGGCGGCGCGTGAAGCAGTGCGTCAATGCGTGCGGTCGCGCCGCACACCTGAGGGAGGGAGGGAGGGAGGATTCAGAAAGAACTTCAGTATGTCGGAGAGACCGAGGTGAACGGGTGTCGTCGGTCGCTCCAGCTCTCACTCTCCCTCGTGACTTAGCTCGCCACCACAACGCTGTTGGAATTTCTCTCTTCCATCACCAGCTGTGACTGACTCAACAACAGAGAAGAACGGAGAGTAAGCTGACTTCTTAACACGTGGATGTCGTGAATGATAAAACATTTTACTTGCGTTATCTTCTCACAGACCGAGTGATAGGAGAGGGGCGTGTTGCGGTGTGTTGCCTGGTACATGATCTATAACCTATGACTATCAAACTCAGCAAATTTTGTGTGGTGAACATATGTTAACTAAAATTTTAATATTTTCGTTGCAAGAACTATGAGAGTGACTCCAACGGTAATAAAGTATCGAGAAATTTCAATGCTGTAAGAAGTAGTTATCTACAACCACTTACACGTGCTTTCGTTGACAGTCAAGTTAGATTAAGGGAACAACTGGGGTACGCTGTGAACTGTATCAAATGCGAGTGATTTTTTTTAAAGTGCAAAAAAAGTAACGTTGAAAGAGTTAATAGTGAATATGGACGAGAGAGAGGTCAACTCAAGTGTAGTGAGTATGAAGCGTCAATGAGGATGAGCGACGGCAGCCACTTACGGAACACCACTGTGATTAAATATTGTCACTTGCTGTCATTAGTCAAGGTATAAAGAACTGAATTCAGCCTTAAAAAAAAGGCTTTTACTTAGTGATATCTCAATTGCTGAACAAAGAAAAGAGCAAATTATATAAAAAGCATGTTTATGAAATGACAGCTGAAAAATGCGACACACAAGTGTAAACAAAACGAAAAAAATAAATGAAAGTGAAAATTTTAATAAACATACGTAAAAAAAAGGAAATTTAAAATTATTTCAACAAAGTAATAAACCTGTAATCTTTATACCGTACTACAATTATATAAATACTACTAAAAAGTTATCACGATTGGGTTTTATCACAGACACATCAGCGGCTTCTGTGTTTGGGGTAGGTCGGGTGACACATACCCTGGCAGCCAGACAGGTGCGTGTGTGGAGTGTGCCCGAGATGTTCCGCTGTTCCCGCAGTAGTGACCACGGCTACTGCTGGAGGCACTGACCACCCTCACCCCTCCAACACACCCACCTCCATCTTCTCCACTGCCTTCAGGTAAGATAATTATCCACTGGTGTTTCCTTTTTTACACTTTATTTGAAGAAAAAAATTAACACAAGTACAGCTTTTCCCCTTAATACATTCACTTTCCTCTACGTATTTTTCCCCTTTTATAAACTCTAGCTTTCCATAACAGCGTTAATTATTTATTAATACTCCCCACACATCAGTTATTTTCCTTATCATGTCAATAGGAACGAAATGATGTCAATAGAGAGAATATGATGAAAAACAAGTACTGTACTGTACGTATGTTTTTACGATTGTCAGAATTACATCACCGCCCTCCTTCAGAGTAAAGAAACACCGCTCAAATTCACCGTCATTGTGTTTATAATAGAGAGAATAGCGATAATGCCGACCTATAAAGAAATAAAAGAATATCACTTAAATACACCGTCATTGTGTCTTGTTAATGAGGTCCTCTAGAAAATAAAGAGAGACAAAGAATGTCATTCCAGCACGCCGCCATTGTTACAGTTTTTGAGATACAAGGTTTAATAATAATACCTTCCCTAACAGACGGCCAGTAGCTGTGACTGTGGTAGAGCGGGACTGTCGTGCACCTGTACTCTGACATTATTTATCTCGAGCTAATACTTCCAACAACTATTATTATTATTATTATTATTATTATTATGCCTTTAAGACACTGGCATCTCTTTTTTTTTCCTATATTGTGAAGGTTTCAATTAAAATCTAGTAAATACCTTCAAGAGTTATAATTAATATACCTTTAATACACCCGCTATAAAGAGAGTTCTATCTCATAATTGTTTTATTGTTGTACTAATGTATTATCAACCTTTTAACATTAAAACAAATATGTACTCGCTATTTTAATTAAGTCTCCACCCAATACTTCAAAGAGCTGCCATTGTTCGGCTTAAAGAAATGCGTTTTAATTCCTCTACTGAAGAGACATTCATATCATGTGCAAGGAGGTGGAATTTCTTCACCGCTATCCAGTATTGTTTTAATGGCTGAAAGGAGTCCATTAAGTCCATTAATAACAGGAATGTAAGCAAATACGGGGGGGGGGGGACACCTAACAAAGCCTCACGTGAAATCTGATCGAGGGTTAAAAATTTCAACAGTTCAGTACAATGTCAGTGACCGACGAGATACATTACCAGGAATTTCTCTAACACAAGAAAGTAACAACTGTGCATCAAGTACGTTTTCAATTACAGTATACAATTTATATAAGCGCTTACGAACCTGAGTCAGAGAGAGACCAAACTACTGTCAACGTCAAAACTATTAACCGAGACGCCGTCCACTCGACAAACACACAAGATATTTAAAGCATGATATATCAAATTCTTGGAGGTTAATATGATACTTATATAGACAAACTCTGGCAGGTTTATGAGAATATAACAAGTGAGCCACCAGAAGCTAGCGACACAAACTGACTCAGTGGGTGTGTACGGTATTATCCTGGCACCATCATCTGGGTACTGTAGTTCACATCAGTTTGCCGGATACAAATACTAGGCTTCAGGTCGGGGTTTTTTATGTATTTGAATATTGGATCAAAAACACGCGTGAGTGACATATTTCACAGTGGTACAGTCACCCAAAAAAGTCCTGTCGCGAACCATGAACCCCGAGATTCAGACTCTTGAATCCGAAGCATTAATGGACAGAATAATGTGTCAGAGTCTCCTGCTTCGGGTTCACGAGTCTGAATCTCGGGGTTCATGGTTCGCGACAGGACTTTTTTGGGTGACTGTACATCGTTCAGAATGGGAAATGTTACTAAGAGTCTCATGTGGGATACATAAGCATGGATTCAGGATCAGAATTCTTAATACAAAAGGTAAATACAACATATTCGTCTATAATCGACTATTTTTAAACCTTGTCTCTTGATAGATATACAGTGTGCTCTTGCAAATATAAAATACTTAGATTTTTTTATAGATCTATCAACAATATATGAAAACAGTAAATGGGGTCCACAAACGTTATTGACTCGGAACTAAACTGTTCTTTCTACTGAGACTGATGGGTGGGCAGGATTTTATTTTTATTATTATTTTATTTATTTATTTTATTTTTTTAATGTTTTTAGGGGTGTTACCTTCGCGGACCTTAAGATAAAATGCTGGCTCGCCCAAGTGGATATGAAGAAAACGGTTAACCTAACCTGCGTAAAATAGTTCACTCTTGTCTGTAACAATATTTTCAAAAATTTTCCTGCCTCAATAAATAACAGATAGAGGTAAACGTAGAGAGACTCTCCACATAAACGGAGAATCCGTGTGTACGGTTTTCTAGAATCTAGACCGTACTTGTCATAGTGTTTTTAGTAATGAAGTTTACAATGTCAACTTATATTGATTGACATGACTGTCGAATATTAGACAGGTTCATCACTGAAGTAAACAAGAAGATAAGTTACCTTTCAGAAAAAAATATACCGGTGGATATAATTGATTATTATAATACATACAGTACTGTATAGTGTAAATCAAAACGCCGTACACAGGCATGTTGTGTACTGATCCAATACCCGGAAATACTAACGCAGAATCACAAATACATACACACGCTGAAACAGAAACTCGGCAGAATATTAGTTGTCGTGTCCTCTTTAGCTTTTGACACTCGTGAATGTTCTTCATCAGTAGACAAATATTTAGTGGTGGTGATATGTAATCACTAACCGGTGTGTCCAGACTAGCCAGGGAATAATAATACAAAAACCAATAAACTTTATGTTACAGAAATTATATATTTGCGGAGTTCGAATATTTTATAAAAAAAATACTTGATTTACCATGTACAGGTATGGCAAAATACACTAAAAAGTTTAGACAATAACACTGTTTTCGTGTCATAAAAAACACCCTTCACAGTAAGGTTGCATTACAAGGTTGCAGTTTTCGTGGTGATGACTTTAGCGTAACGCGCTGTAAATATATTTACATCACCCTGTAACGACACGTTGCCAAGTGTTAGCTGCAAGTTCTGGACGTTAATAAAGCTTACACAAGACTAGGAGTTATGGCGTCACGGCTCCACCTCTCGCAGTTATCATAACACAAGTTACCGCAACGTTGTGGTGGACATACTCCCTCCGTCACCCTTGCTACGTGGCTTACGCGAGAAGTGTCCGTCCGGCTAACTAGAGACGCTTATCATAACGAACAGGGTGTGGTAATTACGGCAGAAATCTGTTTTATAACCGTGGTCAAGAATCAGGGAATGAACTCTATCTTCCATTCGTGAGACGGCCATGCCAGCCCCTGTCCAATTAGGTTTGTTCATAACCGTTTCCCAATTCATACGAGCAGCTTGGTATGGGAATGGTTCAAAGAACATCCGGAATTTGAGGTTATAAAATGGCCAAGCAAAGGGTGTGGCGTTCACGTTATAGAAAATGGTTGGGTCGTGCTGGTCAGGACGTGGGATCTACAGGACGAGAGGAACCTGGCAGCCCAAGAAAATCATGCCAGGGAGAATATAAGACGTATCCCTAACTATTGTAAACGTCTTGTTGAATCTGTTCCTGGAAGGTTACATACAATCATAAAAGCTAATGGAGGATGGGGACAGTAATAGCTGCTTGGTCAGTCAGGAGTCTAAATTTCCGGATGATCTGAGGACCATTTCCTTATCCCAGTTGTCATGACATTGTGTTCAGTGTTTGAGACTGCCCATCTTGTCCGGTTATTGTCACAATATTGTTTTGTTTGTGATATTTCGTAAGGACAGTATTTGTTCATAATAACAGGAAAAATATAAATTTTAATTCTGCAAATAAAATTATAATTTAATGTTTCCCCTAATCACACGTCTTCATTTCATAAACATAAAATAAAAATAAGACTTTACGATATTGCATTTTATACAATCACTGCGTTAAGTGTTTGAGAAAACACAACTTTTGCATTTATTAATACAATATTGTAAAAATATATATATATATATATATATATATATATATATATATATTATCCATAATTACAGGAAAATACATTGTTGTATTCTGTAACTGAAATATTATTAAATACATCCCTCACTCATACGTGTTCTCGTAAAAGGATCAAACAGAGATATTAAGAATTTGTTGGTATAATCATTACTGGGGCGATGGGAATCACCCAGGTTAAAATATAGACAACATAGGATAGTAAAACTGTATGGTTATTTAGTGATGATATTAGGACCTTAGAATATAGTGCGTAAAGTAAACATAATTATGCTGCTGTAATCACCTCGTTTAGTTGTTCATGAAACGAGACATGACCCGAGGCAGTGGTCCCCCCCCCCCCAAGGAACTGAATTGCCACCAGTTGTAAGAGCTCTCGCCCAGGGGGGCCGTTATGACTGTACATCATGCCCGCATACAAGTGGATTTAACTGTCAGGATACAACGAATCAGTGTACAGCATTCCCGTATTCGAGTGGATGTAGCAAGCGGAGGTGAGGGACTCGCTGCACGGTCTATTAATTAATAACTCACCCCCGTACGTCCACAGTCACAGGAATATAATTGGTTCCGCCGTCCAGGTTGTTATGACGTTCCACCGTGTAATTATGTTGAGTTTCCTGACTTGAGCGCACACACACACACACACACACACACACACACACTATGGGGGGCTGTAATACGGTGTGGCGGACCTCACATAAAACATTCTCTCTTTATCTCCACTGTATTATACCTTCGTTATACTTACCGTAACCTTATGTTAATGTTCCGTAGATTCACATAAACTGCTCTTGGAAACCCTATCATCTTCCCCCTAAACCCACTGTGGAGACCCCCCCCCCAAAATAAATATATTGGTAAAAAAAAATTCATCTGCATAAAGTCAGGACGATACCAGCAACACCTGACCAGACTGATGATGATGTTCGCGCGTGAGGAATGTTTTATCAAGCGTCATTAAACCCAGCGAATCACTAATTATCGCTCACCCTCTTAAGATAACAAAGTGTTCAAGTCTTAATTTGACTTAAGTTTGTTTACTTTTTCA